AAAAGCTGTTTTAGGCCAAAAATGTGAACAGGCAAGTTTAAAGGATGGGTAGGTGGGGAACAGGAACAACATGTAGAAAGAAATTAAAATGTTGTTATTCAACATAAGGCCAACAAAACAAATATTTCTTTGCCCTCAGCGACCGACCGAAACATATGAAATATCAGGTCGCGTTTTTCCCATATACCTCGGCTATTTACGATACCCGACCGACCAACCCAAACTTGAGGGCAACATAAGTTGTTGTTATTTTTGGCCTAAGGGGTCTTCATGTTTTCAGCTTTCCTATCATAATATGAAAACTCACACTTTTTCTTTCTGGCAATCATAAACACTTCTTCATCATTCTCGTCAGTGATGTAGATAAGGGACTCCACTGACTGGTTATTGATCAACTTAATGTGCCTATGATATAAGGTGATCCTTAAATCTAAATCCTTTCGATGACAGGTCACAGATAACTTCTCAAAGAACCCACGAGGCTTCATTGGAAAAAGAGAAAATTGGACATTAATCTCTTCACATTCTGAACATTTAGAATCCCATATTTCTTGCTTGATGTTTGGTTTCTCTGAGAGATAGCATGGGAATAATGAAAATCTACTTTCTGCTCCAAGCTTTCGCCGGAATCTTGTCTTTGACTGATCAGGGTTATTTGAAGTAGAGCTTGCAGTCTCTAAAGACAGAGATGAAGTACTGGATACAACTGACTCGGTGTCTGCAAATGTTGTTTGTTCTTCATGATTTGGCATTGCCACACCTAACATGGATGTAGTATTTGCAGCTGCTTCCCCTACCTGATAGCCATTCCCTAGATTGGTCATAAATTGACCATTTACCATTAGGTTAGGTGCGCTACTGTATTGGTTATATGGAGGGCTATAGGTTGGAGAATGAGGAATTGTAGAAAACATGCCACTTTCACAGAAAGGAATATATGGATTTCTATCTGGCAGTATGTAATGTGGAGCAATTTGAGGATAAGGATTGCAATAGACCGGAGCTGGATATCCAGGTTCCACATCAGCCGAGGGCACATACATTGGGGAAGGATTTTCTGTAGTTACCATGCCATGATTAGTATGCAGGTATGTTTCCTGGGTATACATGGCTTGCATTCCGGATGGAGGAATTCCAAGTGCTAGGCTGCAATTGTAGTAATTGGGCATACACGGGGGAACTAAAGGAGGATGGTATGTAGAAAGCTGATGGCATGCAGAAACCTCCAGTGAACCGCTTCTAAGTTCAACTCCTGGAACCATTGGTTGATACATCACTGCATCTGTAACACTCATCACTGGTTTCCCGGTCTCGGATAGTCCCTTTGGTATTGGTGACAAAGGTTGTGTACCAGTGGGTTCCTGAGGCTGAAAATCTGGAGCTTTTGGATCCAGTTTCTGTGGTTGTGCCCGTACATCTGTGTCCTCTATCGTATGACATAGACCAAACTGCTCCAGAATTCGGACCAGTACACCTACTTCAGATTCTTTGGCAGGCAACTTCATCCAGAGAATGTACAGCAGCTTGTGATTGATAAAGGCTTCTTCTTGAAACTTTCTCAGATAAATATTGAACTTCATCTTAGTTAAACTTGACCGAATCTTCCAATCACGCCATTTTGTGTTACAATTTGTGAGGTTTTTTTCAAGATCATGTCTGATGACCATCTTGAATACATCTATCAGCATAGATGGGTTGACAAAGACATGTTCCTTCAAATCATTAATGTCATCAAACCAGATGATTTCACCCAAGTTATGAAGATAATGCAGGACAGGGTTTATGTTATCCAGTGTTTCCATACCAAAAATTTCTTTTTTTATGCGTTGGATAAGAGATTTGTGTGATCTCATTCCTGAAATAAATGAAAAACAATTCTTTGGGTTAACAATGGTCACTAAAACATTGTTACAGATAATATAAAAGTAAAGATAACATTATAGCCAATCAACCATGATAATTTTTCATGCCACAATGTTTTTTATGTTTTTCCTGTTTTGAGCAAGTTAAATCATAATCAGTAACTGTAAAAACATACAAAACAAATTGTGTATGTTCAACTAACAATTCTAAGACAACAAAACAAACATCACAATGCATGGCCAGTTAAGTGACCAATGTTGCAAATTTAAGGGTAGTACCTGTCCGACTTTTATCATCACTTAGAGAAACCTTTCTTTCCTCGAATAAGAAGTTCTCAACTTCCTTCCATGATTTGGGTCTGTTTTTGCCGCGCTGTGGAAATCGTTTCTGGTCTAATGCCAGACTTATGACAGCATCCTTGAACTCAACAAGTCCTTCTGTGTTGGGTTCTTTAGAGCAAAGCATTACGTAATTTGGACAGATCTGAAGAACAAATGATGAAAGATATGTGACAAATGAGTTGGGAATTAATTTCTTAAAACGGATTGTAGGGCCAACAATGTTTTTATTCATATTAATTATAGCCCATTGTCGTATTCTATTGCCCTCCAACAATTTCACTCGGCAATTGCATGAGTTAAAAAAGCTGTCAAATTGTACATAAGATATATATTGAATTATTCTAAACTCGACATGTCTAGCTAGTGTCATTGGGCTGTGAGGCTTGGTCGCGGGTTTTGGGTTGGTTGATTGTTATTTGTCATCTGGGGGAAATGTCTGGGTTGAATTTGGGGTATGTTGCTTGGTTTGAGTGTACCTTCTGGGTTACCGGTCACTGGTAGCATAGTGGTTGTCGCATCAGACTCATGATCGGTAGACCCAAGTTCAAATTCTACCTTAGACTGAACATCAAAAGGGTCGACCCTACCCTGGGCGAGTGTGCCACAGATTCAATGGGAAGACCAATTCAACTGGTCAAGTTTCATTCACTAACGAATGTGATGTTGGGGGAACCTGACCGGGTACTCGGCGGAGTTCCACTGCATTGTGGATACCTTTGGAAGAAGGGGGGCTAAGGAGTAAACTCTACAGAAATCCAGAGTAGAGACCCTGAGGCACTTGGATCAACTATTAGTCGCCCTTCTGGCAGCTCCTGCAGCCAAGCCGGCTCCAAACGTAGTGCTCTGCATTTCCTTGGACTTCGTTGGTGCGGAAGAGAGGGGAACCTTGATGACTGGGCAGCACTAGGTTTCCATACACACATGCCCAGGCCTGCGCCCTGGAGAGACCACGAAGACTGAGCGAGCGACTCACTGGGAACAAACCCATCGTCTCCTGAGATGAAAGGATGCCTACTCTGGGAATTGCATAGGTAATATTTGAACAGCTCAACAATATTTACACTGCATGTCGTTTTCATCACTTTATAATATAACACACACCCAGAGTTGAACGTTCGGGGGCCTAATTATACATCAACGCAGAGTGGTGAGTCGTACAGAACAGATTTGTCGTTCATTCCGTCTTCGACCCAACTCTCTCATTGACCAGCTACCCTGCACTCTCCTCTTAACTCTAACTTAACTCTAACTGTCCTAACTCGTAAAGTTGCATTGTGGGATGTATCGTGTTACCTTGAGATCACTACACTCTTTTGCGTAATCATGCGAAATGTAGTGCGCCCGCAGCGACTGAGTTAAATACAATTCGGGCAGCAATCACCACTGTGATTGCTCATATAGGCAAAGGGAATACTTTCATATACTTTTAAGTGTATCTCAGACTGGTGAAAATAGTATTATCTATACTTAAAGACTGTAATTCCATTACTAATTAAGTCATAACTTGTTAATTGGTGTGTTCGCACATGGTCATTGTTGTGTGCTTACAAACAAAATAACAAAACATATACCTGAAGATCTGCTACCTTTTTTTCATTTTTCAACTCTCGTATTTTCCTGCTCAGAACTTCGAGTTTATCCTGTTGCACATCTTCACTTTCCTCCATGTCTTTTATTCTTTCATCTAAAGTAGTAATCCTACTTTCTAAGAGATCTCTTTTTTCTTTGAGCTGATTTGTTATTCTTTCCATGATATCTTCCATCTTTGCCTCAGGATCTTCACCTCTTTTTTTCACTACATCTATGTGTGTGCCAACTACAAGAACAACTGCATTAGGAACTCTCATTGACACATTAGCAATCCACAGATGGACGAGTTCTTTGTATGACATGTTTTCAAAGTTGTTATCAACAAGCTTGTATTCTGCAAGGTTGACAACAAGAACTACCAAAGCATCATGGGTAATGAAGATATGGTGAGTTTGATAGTAAACAAGCTGTCCAGCAAAATCCCAAAACACCAACTTCACATCGCGGAGATCAAGTAAATGCTTCTCAATACCTACTGTGCGCTCAGTTTCTACAGTGCATTTCCCTTCGACAATTGTTTTGCATAGAGTTGTTTTCCCAGCTTCTGATGCACCAAGAAATATAACTTTAAGTCTGTCATCCTTAATATCACCTTGTTTAAAAGCTCTACAATATTCACGCACTGCTGATAAACCACGAGTAACAACTTCTAGTGGGGGTTGTACAAGAGGATTCCCCTCAGCATGGAACATCTGCAGCTTGGGGTTTTCAAACAATTCCAATGGTACAGTACGCAATTTATTTGATGAGACCAACAGCTGTTCTAGATTCTGAAGCTTCAACAGTGCTCTTGGCAGTTCTGTAAAACGATTGCTAGCTAACTTTAAATATTTAAGACTCTGGCATTCTCCAAAATTATCAGGAATGTACCTCAATCTATTAGACCCAATTCTAAAGTTTACCAGGTTTTTAAGGGCAGAGAACCCAACTGGAATCTCCTCAATCTCATTCACGGAGAGACGAAGAACCTTTAATTTATGTAGTCGAAATATTGGCAGAGGCACTTTCTTCATTTGGTTGTTACCCAAGTCCAAGTTTTCAATTGTTGTCAACTGTCCAAAGTCAGGTTTAAGCTCCTTAATCTTATTCCGGTCCATACTACAGTTCCTCAACTCAACAAAAACATCCATACCTTCAGGGATATCATTCATTCTATTCACAGCTAATAATATCTGACTCACTCTTGGAGATCTTTTATCTTCACGTACATAGAATGGAATAGAGCTTAATACTTTACATTTTATTACTAAGCTGTATTTTTTATCCGTCAATTGCTTCCATATTGCAGTGCAATTGTGTACCTGGATCTTTGTTGTCCTCATCCAGTATGGATGTTCCATAGCTTTCCTAACAATTTGCTCCTGCTCTGGGTCTGGAAGCTCTTCTGCCGTGATCATAAACTGGTAGGTGCCTTTCTCTTGTAGATTCGCTGAAAAGTATGTACTTATGTCGATGGTGGGCCGAGCCATACTTACTCAAAAAGTTTTTGTAAATTTATTTACAAGTTCTGTGGAAATAAATAAGTAGAAATTAATTATCAAGACAAGTCCAGTAAGAGTTGTTAAACTGTTTAGGCAAGGTGATCATAGGATAGAAAACAGAACAAACATTTCGAAAAAATAGACTCTGATAAAAGTATATAAACACAAAAAAAGTTTCCACTGCCTAAAAAGCAACAAATAATTGGTCAAATAATGGTATTTCATTTTTTGTTTCATAAACGTTGGTTAGCAATTTCAGGGATTAACTATTTTTTTTTCAGTTTAGTATGTCGGTATTACAATTACTTACAATGACTTGGCAAAAAGAAAAAGAAATCGCTGGTCAATTAGTCAGACCAAAGCTGCGCAAAGAAAGGCACCTGCCCTTTTTCTGCAGGAGAAGGATAACAAATATCATCCAGGGAAATTTGATGAGAAAACACAATGAAGAAACTATAAGGAATACTATTAGTGTGCACTGGTAAATAATTGGCACACAGGTCCAGATATTTGTAAGTGAGCTTATCTGGCCTAGCACAGAAAGATGGTGGAGAAATAACATATGGAAAGTTACTAGCGAGATTAGACGTGAACCTTCGTTCTATTGGGCAATAATATACATCTGCAGCAAAATTGAGGATTATGTAGTGTAAGAAAGTTAAGACTTTGGTGATGCTATACTAGATTAGACTTAGATTGCATTCCCAGTAATGGACATTACTTCACAAGCAGGCTGGAAATAGAAGATGGAATATTCAGAGCCAATCTTACGGTTAGAAGGCAGTGATGACGTAGTTGATTTTGATATGTTTATGTTGATTGTTTACTTTGCTGCTTACCAAAAATAAATCGCTGCATATGAAATCGAGGCTAAGTATTGACAATGTTATTATTTGCTACTTTGATGAGAAAAACCATAATGTGAATGTTTGAAGGGATTGCTTCATAGAAGAAGGATGCTCATGAAGAAGGTAACAGATGGATTTTTCACACTAGATGTTGACTATACTCTCATCACAATGATATGTTTTTGTCATATTACATCAAATCCTACAAATAGAAGTGTGCATGGAATAATGAAAACAAAAACGGTGTGCATTGCCATGTGATAACTGTTATAAAGGTCGTACTTGTTTACAACTCTGGAAGGACAATTGGAGTGTACCATGTGTGATTGTGATTTACATAACAAAGGATGTTTACGATCTACTGACTATTTACTATCTACTCCCCTATTTTAGTGAATGTATTCATTGTATTATTGTATGTGCTTTGTTTCTTGTAATTATTAACTTGATATTTTGGTGTATGTGTATTTCCAGAACTATTGTCTGGTCTACCTTAAACTCGCAGTGAAATAACCCCCTGTCCAGTGTGAATTATGTGTAATAACATAGTATTTTTATATTTTGCCTGGCTAAGCTATTTTGTGGTGATGCACATATTCATTTGGCTGTTATTATAAATGAATTATTATTATTTCATTTCTACGGTTGTCGTCGCGCTGTGCATGTGGGACATTTGTATTGATAAACATTGATTTTCCCACAATCCAATGCGCTCTTCTAATGAAAATCACAAGTATGAGGTTTGGCCTGGGCACGACTTTCACTAATTACCGCCGGTAACGTCTCAGTTTGTACTCGTTGATCTGGGCAACAGTCAAAGTCGCCATCTTTGTTTATATGAGACCCATATATCTCGCACATGCGCCTTTTAATGTAGTGACTCACGTTCGTGGTCTCCCATTTTAACAGTTTTCCTGGCTTACAATAACACCCTTTGAGGACAGTTTATATTTATATCATCAGATATCAACTTCCTTTGACCTAGGCCAACTTGAACCTGGTCGTCTGGCAAAACAAAAGAATCAATTATGCAGTTGTTAAAGGTTTAGTCTTCAGGGGCGGATACAGAATTTTGTTATGGGGGGGGGGGGGTTCAAAATTTAAAATCGCCATACTAAGTTAATGATTTTTATACAAAAACAAATTGAATAAATTTTTCAACGGAGGGGGGGGGGATTCCAAGAACCCCCTAGATCCGCCACTGGTCATTCACATTCCTGAATTTGTTTTGCAACAACAATTAAGATTGTTTTATGAGTACTATGATTAGTGTCAAAGGAGCATCATGCTCAATATGTTCGAAGTTGGTGGTTATTACTGGTAAACATTGTAAACAGCGATGCTTCAATTTCAAATACAGAACTGAAGGTCACACTCAAATCCCGTGATCCTTTTCATATAGAGTGGTTTGCAACTACGCCAAATCAAACGCAGCGTCTCCCAAATATTGCTAAACGCTAAGTTGGATCCCAAACAGTACAACCAAGTCGATAGATCACGAGAGATATAATGTGTTTTTTATCATATATCCCCAAATTGTAAATGTAATTTCATTCTGTAACCTACACTATTATTTGGATAATTTGATCTTAAATTTGATCAGAAAACCTATAAAACAAAACATTACAATTAGCCACGAACGTATGCTGATTACGTAATATCCCAGTACAACAGACTTTTTTAGAATTATTCAATGGCAAAGAACAAACCCGACGCAAGCGAATTGGCGGCAAAAGAAAATACAAAGTTAGTTTTATTCTGTTGAATCTAAAATTTCTGGCATACAGCGAAATACAGCACTAAAAGGCAAAAAGCTTGAGGGAAAAAACAAAATAAACGAACCTAAAACAGAACTGTGACAAATCGATAAAGAGCACTCAAAAACGAAAAAAACAAAACAAAGCGTGATACTAATACTAAACGATAGAAAAGCGAGTTGGCATGACCGCGAGAAAAAAATGGGTGGGTGGGTGAAAATAACCCGAACAGAAATAACTGGGCACGAACAGCGTGCGATGTAAACAGTGCATGTAAACAGAACGAAGCAAATGGGCTACAATAATCGTGCGCAGTGGAGAAATGAAACAAACGAACGAAGCTTATGCAAATGAAAAGTATGCAAATGAATAATTAACAATTTTGAACTGCTTACAAAATACAACCATTCAATACAGGGAAACAGTAAACGGCCTGACAAAATATTACGTAACCAGGCAGTTTATTGTGTGTAGTTGTTTAAACATTCTATATTTGTTTGCAATGTTTCTTTTCCCCCTAATTGACCAATCATTTGCAATAACAAAGAATTGGCAGATTTATTGAAAAGTGCATGGACAATAAAAAAAAACATTCAATTTTCTTTTGTCCTGATTCATTTTTTTCTTCTTAATAACTAGTGTCACACTTTCACATGTTTCTATTTACAACATTTCTGTATTCAATCCAAAACCAAATTGTTGTGGCGAATTTGATTAGCGTGAAGATAACAGAACATACACCTATTCAGGCATTGATTTGACGCCATGTGTGCTACCAAAAGTTAGTACAATTGATTAAGAATTTTCTTTTTAGTTTTACTACAATGGCGACAAATATTATCAATGAAGCAACAACAAATTACGAATGATTGACAAATATTTTCGATGTGTTCGTTCAATTCCAACAATTGTAACAAATTGCTTACATTATTAGGGTGTCTAATTTAGATTACAATTATTCAGTGAGTCACAAAGCTCGTTGAAACAAAGGAATGACTTGGGTTAGTGAACTCTATCTACGCGGGATAGCATTATCTGCGATTGGTGAACCTAATGGTGTTCAAAAACCAAGGAGGGCGCTTTATCTAACTTAGAACCCACCGCCTCAAACCTTCTACAGATATATATACGTTCTGTGGTATTTCGTAGTGGGAATGGGGATCATGTCCCTGTTTTAAACGGTATACGCTATAAAAGCTCTTAATATCTGTTACTCAATGCGTGAATCGCGATCGGTGGACATTAGTTTTAGTATATATAATGTCCTGCAATGGTGTATTCT